TTGCATCTTCCTCGTTAATTTAATCAGGTTGTCAACGCTATAAATTTATATTACCACAAGGATATACGAGCACCTCGATTTTATTGTACTTCATAATATGAGCTTATGAATATAAGCTATGTACAATATTTTCCAAGTACCTCGTTTTTATTGTTGTTTATTGTAGGAGCTTGTGAATGTGAGGTATGTAGCATTTTTTCGAAGTCTTGGAATTTTTTTTCCCTTTCTTTCCTTTTTCTTTTCTGTTCCTTTTTGTTTTTGTTTTTGTTTTTGTTTTTGTTTTTGTTTTTGTTTTTTCATCGAGATTCTCGACTACGTTGAGTAAGCCAACCAAACTTAGAACGAAGACGTATTAGGTTCACCGGAGGCAAAAAGGATGTATTATTGGTGTAATTAAAATTTTATTAAAACTAAGGTAAAATGTCAACGTTGGATCGCTCGCACGTGGTAATACTCTCGTCAATTTAAATTCCCTCCTATCTTCTCCTACTTCCCCGAGCACTTTTTATTCCTTTCTTTTTACTTGACCTTCCAACAATCCGCCAATCGCATTGAATCGAAATTCCTCGGTTATACGTCAGCGTTTAATCATCACCATCTGCGAATCCCAACCATGCAATAATAAGACTCTCGTGTACATATGAGCGTATCGATCCGCGAAGTTCCGCAGCTACGTCTTCCCCGCGCATCTAAGGATTATCTCCGAGCAGCGAAACTGCGTTGTGAGTCGCGCATGGTCCTTTGATCGATGCTGCCGTTGAGTTTAACAGGTAAACGTTGGATATTTTCGTGCTGTTGCCCCTCGCCCTACCGAGGGGGGCTCGATCGATTTTATTGGCAAAGGTTTCGCAGACCGATACATCATGGAATTGTCCGGACTTTTATCGAATTTTACGCTATCGTTGCCATCGTGAAAATCGTATTAAATATCGGGCGCGAGAGTAAGCAGGTAAAAGGCGAGTAACTCGAGTGCAAAATACATGAGCTATTGATTATCATCGTGAAATTGCGATACTACACATGGACGTTCATTATTGACAGTTGCTTGCGTTTTCCAATGAATTACCCTCGCTGCGAGCCATCGTCATCATCTCTGATCTTGGCCAAGCCTTCCTTGTCCGATTGCATAAAATCGACGTGATCCTTTCACGGTCGTGTGAGGTTCCGTTATAAAATAAAGAAAAAAATTTAAAAAAAAAAATAAAAAGTAAGATAATGAAAGAAAAAAGAAACAAGGGAATGCAAAAACAACAACCGTATTATCAAGATGTTGGCTTCGACTCTAATAAGGTCAATCGCATGGCTATGCGTAGTGACCGGTAATGTGCGCGTTCCCATTCTCCTCGTACTCCTGTTTACCTCAAATTTCAGGCTAATTTCAGCCTGAAATCAGCGTGTACACACGGATGATGCAAGCGCATCGGAATGAACGGGGACAGACGCGGCATTTCTTGCCTTCGCTCTCGCAAAAGAAAAGAAAGAAAGAAGGAAAGACAAGAATTCTGTTCTGTCTCAGTCGCGTAAAAAAAAAAAAAAAAAAAAAAAAAAAAAAAAAAAAAAAAAAAAAACGAAAGAAAAAAACCTGTAACACGCGCGTAAAGCCCAAGAGAGAAAAACGTAGAGAGAAGAGCGAGCGCCGAGAAGGTGGAGGCGCCCACCACAGCCCACGTCATCGAAATCGCAGCTCTCGTCGCGCTCTAGGCCAAATCCAAAAGTGACATGAGTCACAGACTCTTGCCGATCATGTGCTTTTGTCGTTATTAATGGGCGGCGGGCGGGGAGGAGGGAAAGTAAGGCGTCCCGGCTTCTTTTCGCGAGCCATTTTCAAACTTGCCGCGCGCGCGCTCCTAATTGTTTTTTGTCGAGAGACTACGCGGCCTTGGCTCTCGCTCTCTGCACTTTATATAGAAGTTTTAACATCGCGGCGCTTCAAATCTCGTTAATATTGGCACATTTTAAAGGAAAAACGAGAAGAAAAATTGAGGATTGCCGGCCAAGATGCCGGGGCGGGTGGAGACATTACCACGCTCTCATGAGATTGGCCATATGTTGAGTAATCGTGGAAAATTCATATTGTTTACGTGCCGCGACAATTGAGCAATTGTGAAATCGTTTCGCAAGCTCTGCCCGATTTCTCGATGCCCGACCGACGAAATTACGCTTTTCCGATGTGTGCGCACTACTACCGTTTGTGAATAATGTGTGGCAATGTTTTCAGAGTCCCATGTAAACACGTAATTTGCGTCGGTCTATTGGCTTTTATCAGCATTTAATTTTTCTCTTCTTCTCTTTTATTTCGATCGTACTCGATGTGAAAGAGACGATTATATTTGATTTTCAATAATAATTTACGACTACTAGTGGAAATAATAACTTATCATTCGCTTAGATTTGTTATTGATATTGAGCGAGGATTAATAGTAATGTAATTGCCATTATCTCTCGATAACATAAATGTTATAATGCCCTTTGGGATTAATATTGATATCATTAATACGTCGATTTTACGTTTGGCATTCGCTCTCGCGCCATTGCTTTGGACATTTTTTTTTTCACAAATAAACTCTGCGACATTTGGATGGATAATTAATTTTACGGGAAGCCAGTGTCGTGGGAGATCCATCCAGCCCTTCAATCTACTTCCAATACCGTTTAATTGTTCAGCTACATAAGTCGTCTTTTCATTCATTATCAGTGTATGCGCCGTTGAAAATTTATAATTTCCCCTAAGTAGGGCAGCGAATTAAGTAAAAAGCAAGCAGTTTTAATCGTTGACTACAGTTTAGATTACGCCACTTGTTTTCGCATGACGTAGATTGTAAAATGTGTAAAAATACACGGCCATATTGATGAATTCGGTACATCAGCACAGAAATAGGTAATAATAGTTTAACGTTGATAATAAATTATCTTTTAAAAAATTATGTAACATACGCATCCTGCGTAAGTCTCTCGTCCCTTTTACTTTATCGCTAAGGTTAATTATAAAGTATAAAAATCGGGCGAGTGCCTACTTAATTGTAATGAAATAAACTAGCCAGCGTGATGTCGCACAAAATAAATGTACGCGTACTCTGTTTCTTCTTTTTTCTTCTCCTCGATATGTATTCACCTGGCGTCATTCATGATTTAAAGCCTTTTGTCGTTACGTCATCTAATTATTTCCATAGCTCACGGGCGAGTCGAGACGGAGCGACGTCAAAAGTCGTTGGGACACTTTCGAAATCCACGCGACGACTTCCGCAACGGTTTCGCGAAAAAGGCCTGTGCACTCACCGACTTTTACTGTTAACTGCCGCTAATCGCGAGGAAAATCAATCAGCTCGATCATCGTCTTACCGCGGTTGTTTTCAAACGCTGTCACCGCCTTGCCTCCCTCCCACGCTAACCTCCCCCTCCCCCCTCCCCGCCCCTTTGTCACTTTGTTAAGGTGACTTGGGTAAGTGCGGTAGATTCTTCGCGTGATCATTGCATCGATATCCCCGGCCTCTTATTGATGGCAATTCTATCGGTTTGCGGACGATATTGTGAAAATGTAGCTGCGATGAAAAGTGCCTGTGCTTACGACTCACGACGACTCACGGTCCTTTATTGTCATAAGCTCATGAAAATGGTCATTTTTAGTTTAGGACGTTTTACAAATACGTTTAAGAAAAAAAAAAAAATTGACCGGAGCTAGATTTTTTTTTTTTATATTTGGGCATGAATTAAAAGGTTTTTATGTCACTGTAAACGTTTAATAATTGTTATAAAGTTAGAAATATTTCATTTTAACGCCATAGTGTGTAGAAAAGAGATTTTTTTTATAATCGCCTCGGTCGATCGCAAAGCTCATAAGATTATTTAATAGCGATAAAGAACTTTAGAATTTGTGAATATAAATCTTCTGAAAATCTCAACGCAGATATTTTGTAGTCTCGTTGTTGTAGGTTTACACTACTTTTATTCACAATCATTTTGAATTATGTTTTGAATGTAGGTACGGGTCCAAACGGATAAACGAAAATTTCAATGATTCATTTGTATCGCTACGAAAACGCCGGTCGATTGCGTATTAACATTGTCTTTTTTCCTTATCGTTCGTATATTTTGACGTTCGGCGACATTATGTTTTCGTTGCAATTTAAGTAGCTCGTAAATCCTGAGTAATTGCCTTCGGTTCTCAAATACCGTATTGTCAATGTTATAACATTTCACATAATGGAGCGAAAGTGTTGCGAGTGCCGGGTGGCGTAAGGGAACTTTTCTTCGTGTCTCTTATCACCGTCTTACGCAAATATATTCCTTCGTCCGTTAAGTCTTTGAAGGATGCCGCTTTATTTGCGGTATCGGCCAATCGATGAACCTAACTCGCTAAGATAATTGGCAATGTCGCTCGCTGACATCTTTTACGCCATTTAGGAATAAATCGGAAGTCGCGGTATCGTCCCGATATGCGATATGCTGCAACGACCTGTCCCTCCCCTCCCCGCCCAACCATGCAACAAAGCTGGCGCACAAATAATCGCGTGCTGAAGCCAACCTGGTGTGTATAAGTAGCTGAGAGCACCGCTTGTAACCGCGACGGCACTATACGAGTAACCTCCACCTCCGCCTTTCGATCTATTCTGGATACGAAGAGCCGCTAAGTTTAGCGTTTTCGTTGGCCCGCAATCTGTTCGTCTCTCTTTCACTCTCTCTCTCTCTCTCTCTCTCTCTCTTAGCAGCCGACATTTACGGATAGCCGATCGGCTTTCGTCCCGTCGATTCGGTCCGTCGATGATTACGTAAGACAGGAGTAGCGGGTGCTCCCACTCACCCCTCCTGTCCCGCTCCTCCTCCTCCCGCACTCTATCTGAAATTCCGAAGTCCGAAAAAAGCGATAATAAACGTTAATAGCGCGGCGGGATGATAATAGAGAGAGAGAGAGAGAGAGAGAGAGAGAGAGACAGACAGACAGACAGACAGACAAAGACGATTGATTAATAAATGGCCCTGTGTTTTTTCTATTGTCTTGACAGGTGGTTACTGAAGGCACGTGACCGAAGCTCGCGGGCTGCAGCTAAGCTCAGGCCAATTGCACAACAACCGGAAACACAATGGTAGACTACTACAAGATCCTCGAGGTGAACCGGAGCGCCAGCAATCCGGAGATCAAAAAAGCGTGAGTATAGTGTTGTTGTTCATTATGTCATTCGTGAACAGTCGACGAGGTTTGTCTTTGCTTTTTTTTTTCTTTTGTTTTTTTACGGAATATTCGATAATCGGGTCCTTATGTAAGCCTTGCACGTCTTGGATTTCGGCCCCTCTCTCTTTAAGGCAGCGCCAGCGCCGCCTTATTCGTGATAACATTTCAATTGCTACAATTATCGCGATAATTTCATTTGAAGAGCGATAATACCCGCCCGCGGTAATTGTGCATTTAATGCGCGCAATTTTACGAGCTAACGGTCATTATTTGGTCATTTAGTGTCGTTCACTTTGCTCAGATTATAATATCTAATTGCTAGCATGAACGAGATATAGGTTTATGCTCGTTGTGGCATTACGCTCGGCCATCGACCGATAAATTTCAATGCACGGAACAAACAAAAAAAGAAGAAAGAAGCTTAATACGCGGGTCAGCAACCTAACCGTCGCCGGTAAACTATTCGCGGTCGCCTTACTTTTTCGACCGGCCACGGAAGCATGCCAAGCACGGAAAAAAGAGGGAGCGCGAGCCGCGAAAAGGCTACGTAAACACAAGTCCTTTTTCAACGAGACTAACAGCATTTCAGTCAGTCGATCTCATATGTTAGATATACACGTTGAGTAATACCGAGACAAGATTTTTATCGCTACGTCATATCTGAATGTCGCCGCGCACCCCTTAGAATGCATCACGAATTACCATTAAAAAGCTCAGTGGGCTCAAGTCGCGATGGTAAAGGACCGATAACATGCTTGTAACCAACAAAGAATGTAGAAAATACGATATTCCGTGCTCTTGATTTTTTTTCGCTGAAAAAGTACCACTAGTGCTTGGGAACGCGCGACGAACCGACAGGAAACACCAATCAGTTTCAAATCCTTTCTATTTTCATCAAATTCGCGTTGCATGTAGCGCTGCGGAATTCTGCACAGCACGACAACATTTAAAAATCATAGCCAAATAAAAAATTAAATTACTCGATCGACATATTTGCTCGTGAGATTCGTGATAATCGCAAAATAATTGCCAAAAACAAAATCGTACTAGCGCGTTGTCCAAGCAACAATTTGACTTAATAATCCGCTATAATTATTCACTGTATATCTATTGTACAAGTACAATCGTAAAGTCTATTCTATTCCTAATGACGTAGCTTTTCGTACGTTTTTTCGTCACCAACATTTCTCCAAGATTAGCAACTCCAAGCGTATTATTTAGCCAAAATTTTCGGCCATTTTCAAACCAATTGAAAATCGCTAATTATTCCCATGCCGTCGAGAGGTCTCGAGGACAATGCAAATCATGTATATTCAAAGCCAATGGCGGATAATAAATTTGATTCGTGGATCGGCCATGCTACCACGACCAACGGCATCATCAATCGAGAAATTATTCATAGTCGTCGTCATAGCGCTCGTCGTAGACCGATCGTTCCGGCAATCGCCGATCGCCGTGGTACTTTAATCGGCATGTTTAACGGCAAATTGCCAATCTCGTTTTACAAACGGCACAATGGCGATAATGGCCCGCGAGTTTTGCACAACGCAATTATCGCGTGGCCCGATAAAACTCTTACGCGTAAGGTTTCACACCCGGCAGAGTCACGCCGTCGTCCCCATACTCCATTGCTTATCCATGTAGTCCGTTGTGTTTCCTTATTTTTTCTCCCTTCTTTTCTTTCTTTCTTTCATTCTTTCATTCTTTCTTCCTTCCTTTCTTTCACGGATGATGCGTCGGCTTCGTTGGTTTTGCCTCGCCATTTAAAGCACCGTCGAGGGCGAGCGCAACAAAGAAACGCGCGGGAACGTCGACCGACCGGATGGGACGGGACGGGATGGGATGGTATAGAGCAGGAAGGGGCAGGGCGCCGTGTCCTTGTGTAAAAGCAGTGCCTCTCCCAGTCAAGTGGTGCGCGATTTTTGTAAATATTTATGAGAAAATCGATCGCGGACCGGTGTGTGACGCAGCACCGACGAGTCTGGCTCGCGCATCCTATCGTCCACGGCGATCGCCAACAATGTACAAAGGGATTCATTCGCTAGCTACTCGGAAAGCCGCTTTCGAACTCTTTTTCATCTTCACCGGATAAAGAGAGGAGATAAATGCAATGCATCGCATCCCGTCCGCCGGGCTGTTAGGTGGGAAGAGGAACTGTTGTAGCTTCTCTCTCTCTCTCTCTCTCTCTCTCTCTCTCTCTCTCTCTCTCTCTCTCATTGCCTCTCGCTCACTCACGCTCACTCATTCCTCCCCTCCCACTGCCATCCCATGGAGCGCATCCGCGCGAGCGCTCGTAAGATTGCGCGCAGCACGGCCCCCGTCTACGTGTGCGTACATGCAACCGCGCGCACTCACAGGGGGGAAAGGTCTTTGACTCATTTCACGGCCACGACGACGCGTGTGTCGCGGCCACAGCCGTCGTTACCGCCACCGCCGACACCGCCGTCGTCAACGCCACCGCCACCGCCACCGCCACCGCCACCGCCACCGCCACCGACACCAACACCGACACCGACACCGACACCGACACCGGCACCGTCACCGCCACCGAGATCGTCACCGCCGCCTCGCGCATAACGCACCAACGTCCACCGAAATAACGTAGAACTGCCCCGCCGCTAAGCCGATTCTGTGACACCGGACACGGTCTTTCCACAAGCCTATTCCTCTCTCCCTTTCGGCTTTATAACTTGGACGTGAAGACGATAATCGAGGGTCGCCGAGGGAGACGGAGACTTGGCCTCGAGACGTTGCAGCCGCGACATCAATCGTTCACGTTTGTTTTACCCGAGCAGCTGATCGATCGTATCTCGCTAAACAGCTGATCATATCTCGTCTCAGCAAGTCGTTGCGTATTCGCGTAGCGCCCGCGCGAACAATGCGCGCCGAGGGTGAGAACGGCCAAGGATTATAAATATGGGGACGTCTGGATGTCGATGCTGCGCGCATAATGGCTCGCTCGTCGCTACGCGATTCCATTGGGTCGCGTGCCGTAGGTTCATTTCCATTTTCATGCTCTGCGTATTATCGTCGCCAATTCCTCCATTTCATGTTTCCACGGCCTTTAATTATCAGTATTACTCACAGCAGATAAATTGCGTGCATTTTTATTGCCTGGAAATTTTTATTAAATAACTAATGATATATCGGACGACGTTAGGTCGGCCTTTACAGGCCCGTCGTACGCGATCGACCGTCACGTAATGAATGTAGAGGCAAATTGTCTTCCTCTTGCTCTACGTGCTGTAGTTTTTCATGTCGATTTACAGCGCACTAGATACCGTGGAATTATCTATCCATGCTAGTGTTGTTACTAGATGAGCTGCAATTTGCGTGGCTACGACGATGCCAGTTTAAGAGACGAGTCGACGTCGATCCCCGATAAAGGAAGCCTCTGTGCAATATGTCGCCGCAAGCTTTATAAACCAATGCTGTTGAGAATTATTGGATTCTCTCTCTCTCTCTCTCTCTCTCTCTCTCTCTCTCTCTCCCTCTCTCACCTCCACCCACCCCCCTCTCGATTACGGGTGAATCGATTGTGTGCGAAGAGAATGTTGTTTTCCGGCTTGGGCAGTACAAAAGATCGAGCGCTTCATTTTCTAGCAACCAAATATTTATTTTTCGTCCATGTCTGCGTGACAACGTCATGTATTTGTAACGATAGAATGCAAACACGTTTGCTTATTTTGTTTTTTATTTTATTTTATATTATTTATTTGTTTGTTTGTTTTTTTGTTCCGAAAGTTTAGGATAAATTATCATCGCGCAGTAATAATGGATGACAGAGCCCAGAGAGAGGGAATCGTAAGCAATTGAGCTGAAAGAAAAAAAAGAAAATGCAATTTGATATATATTTTTATAAAATTATATACAAAAGGAACTTTCAGCTGGAGAGTAATACGATTCCCTTAAAAGCACACTACATAAAAAAAAAAAAAAAAATGAAATAAAACAAAAACAAAAAAAAACAGGTCGAAGAGAACGTATTGCAAAAGCATGGAAAAAATAAAAATTTCCGAAAAAATGAAAGAAATTAATTTCCGGCCGCGAGTTCTCATGTTATTGAGGCTTAAAGTATAAATTGTAAAATATATTTATTAATGCCCCACAGATACAGAAAGCTGGCCCTAAAATGGCACCCGGACAAGAACCCTGACAATCTCGAGGAAGCAAACAAGCGTTTTAAAGAGATCTCCGAAGCTTATGAAGTCCTTAGTGATGGTAAGCCTCAACTATGCTAATCTCTTGATTTCCCAACCTCTCATACTTACGTCTCTTCCGATATCTTGGTATTTTCCTTTCTTTTTAAATACGGCGCGTTGCTTTCTTCTACTAGCCTACGCTCAAGACTCGCATTGCCTTTGTGCACCGCGATGGCGGCTACTTATGAATGTGTACTTTTGAACGATGTACTTATCTTTATACTCAATGATCTCTTTATTTTGTGTTAACAATGCAGTTGCGTGGAAACGAGTGGAAAGTCGAGCGTCGCTATTCCTTTGTTGTATGGAGAAAAGTAACTGTAGCGCTAACAAGGGCAGTCGTCTTATTCAATATTTAAACTTATTAGTCACTTGAATGCAGAGAAAGATCATTGGCCTTACAAAGGATTTCAAACTTTATTGTTTTAAATCGCCTCCGTGAAGCCTATTGTTGAATTATTTTTTCAAGCAATGTATTTCATATTATGCGTATTAGTGTGCGTGTATACCTAACAAAATGTGTAAACATTTTTATTAGTTACAAGTATATCTCGAATTAAAGTAGCGATTAACCATAATTCCTAATGAAACATTTCCTTTCATTTATAAATCGTCCAATCGACATAACAACACGGACAAGGCTTTTTACGATGTCGTGCAATGATGTCGCGTAGTTGATTTAAAATGATTTCTTAAAAACCTTTAATAATTATTTGAATAATGAAAGAAGTAAAGGAAATAAATAAATTTCTATTTCAATATGCTTTCGTAACTCTTTCAAAACCATCCTAATATGCGAATCAAAGCAAAAACAAAAAACAAAATTAGCGCGCAACACAATTTTTTCATTAGACTGTGTGCGCGTAATTGTCGTCTTATGTTCGCCGCCTTACGATAATTAACTCGCATGTTTTCAGGTATTACTCGTACAATTATAATAGCAAGGACTTCTAAGAGAGCATAAAACACTGGATTTCCGCAGTCTAATGAACTAAAGTTCATCGGGACCGAGCGGAGTCCCTCACTTTCGCTCATTTGTAAAATAAAATGTTCCCGAACTTTACCATCTGCTCGGCTACCTATGCCGTCCTTTTTACCCTCGACCCTCCTCCCAACCGCCCCGTTTTTCACAATTCGTGTTTGTGCGCGCGCGCGTGTGCTAATTCGTCTCGTTATCGTCGCTATATAAGAATAGAACGGAGGGCCAAGGTTGTCGATTAGTGCGCGCGCGATATATAATGAGCGACGGGGGGCTAGTGTGTGAGAAATTAAAAGAATAAAGAGAGAGAGAGAGAGAGAGAGAGAGAGAGAGAGAAAAGACAAATTCGCTGTGTGTGCTTGTGGTTGTACAGCTGCGAAGAGGCGATGCTACGATCAGAGATTCTATGAAAGAGCATCGACGAGGTTGACGAGGTCGACGCGTCGTACAGGATTCACCTACCGGGATTACTATGACTCTTGCTTGCAGCGATTCTTCGGTATTGCCGAGTGCGCAAACGCACGAATTTTGAACAAACGCAATAATCAAACGATCGGATGATTGTCTTTACGCTCGATGTCTGTTTGCTTTTCTCCTCATTAAAATTAATAATCTCTCCGTCGAATAATCATTATTTATAAAGTCAGTGGCTAGGAAGCATAACTTCTGATAACATTATGAAATTTAATGTGAAAATTCTTTTAAAGTCCGGGCGAGATTTCTTTAGCTTCTCTTGGACGCTTAATCCTACCTTGCTAATGTTTACTCGACTTTATATTTAGTTTCACTTCACCACCTAAATACAAGACTATATAACACGAACATTTGAGTAATTCTTGTTTGGGTTTTTTAATTTTAACCTATTACCTCAATATTACATTGGTTTTGTCTGATTTTTTTCGCTTCTTTCAAAAAAAAAAAAAAAAAAAAAAAAAAAAAAAAAAAACAAACAAACGAACGAACGAACGAACGAACGAACAACCGTGAACTACAATTTATTGCATCGTAAGAAAATATAAGTAAATAAAAATATAAACTGATGTTTGTATTTTATATTTGTAATGGATGATATCATGCAATTAAATTGGCCTCAATCAAGCAATTAATAATATTGTTTAAAAATTAAGATTTATTTTGTAGGAAAAAAAAAATATATATATATATATATATATATATATATATATATATATGAGAATCTTTTATGTATTTTAGCATACTGTAAACGTGATTTAACAGAGCTATTAATTACTTTTAACCAAATTAATTTAATTTAATTATTTTTAAGAAAATAAAATTAGTTATAGAGTGGGAATGGACATTATTTCTAAATGAAATCGTCATGTTTGATTCGTAATTTTATTATGCTAATTAATCAGACGGTCTCCGACTACTAATTTTGCCTATCTTCATATCAAAATGATAATAAATTCGAAGGCCACTCCAATAGATTACTTTTCCTTTTGTATTTTTAAGTAGATGTAGTAAGTATAACACAAAATTAATTAAATTAATATAATTGTCAATGGTATGTCACGATTAAGTGATATATCATGTTTATACTTCCTATTTATACATATAAACAACCTGGTTTTAATATTTTTGTCTGGGAAAAACTTTTATAACATATATAAAAGCGAATTAAGATGTAAAATAATTGTTTTATTGAATACACTCTTACCCAATATCAGTAATTGAATTTCAAAAACTTTGTAACATTCGATGAGATAAATTTTTATAGTGAGCATTAATAATCGTTATAAGATGGAAATAAGGAAAATATTTGATTATTTACGGCTACAATATCTTTATATCTGTGTTTCAAATATAATATTTGCGCCAAGCTTCATAAGCGACTTTTATGCCATTTATCAGTTAACAAATATAAAAAGTGCGAATAAAAACAGATGTGGCCAAGTGAAAATGAATGATCACGAAATTCAGCATTTTTATATCACGATTTACCGACTGCAAAATAAAATGATAGATTTTCCGCAATGAATAGTTTACAAAGGCATTAATAGGTAATCAAATGTATTCAATAACGACGACACTTTATGTGATATTGTGATTTCGGTTTTTTTTGTGATACGAGGTTTTAAAGAGAGACATAAAATTTATGAGATTTATTATATAAATGCTAGCTATTGACTTGGTCCATAACATCGATATTGACGAATAACTTTCAATTGCCTTTGAAACTTCACTAAACGCTCTACCTAAATATTGAAGTGCGTGCGATTTTTCGTCATTAGGCCGACAGTTTTTCTAGACAAAATTGTTCTTTACCACCGTAATCCAAGTTTTAAATATACCACCGCAATTCTTACTTATTAATACGATTGCCAAAATTTCCTTGAACGCATCGTTAACTCACTCTCCTTGTGCTTCATTTGTACTTAATGTTCAAACCATCTTCTTTTACAACTAATTAAGTTTTGGAGTTTACTCGCTCTATAATTAATAATGACTTTGCAGATCGGAAACGTAGGGTGTACGATCAGTACGGCAAGGAAGAATTGCAAATGCCAGGCGGCAAGAGACGCCACGAGGACGACTTTGACTTCAACATCAACGCGACCTTCGTCTTCAGAGATCCCGAAGATGTGTTTAGGGAGTTCTTCCATAATATACCATTTGAAAATCTGTTTGCTGGTGAGTATGCCGATGGATGTAAGAATATTTTTAAATTCGCGACGTAGGAATGGAATATTAAATTTCAATATCCAACTATAACATTTCCTTTAAAGATCCATTTTTTGCGCGTATAATGTATGAATGGCAAGAGTTGTGACGTTTGAAGTTCCTCTTGATTGCCATTTTCATCGTAAGAATGATGTATTATGTTTGCTTGTAAATGGCAATCAGTTTATATTGTGCCCGACATTGGAAAAGAAAGATAATAATAATTTAAGAATTTTCATCGCTCAACTTCATCGGTATATGAGTTATTCAGTAATAGGAAAATTATTAATATAATTTTCAATTAGATACACTAAAAAAAAAAAAAAAAAGAATGAAAAAAAAATAGAAACAGTCTATATTTGATATGCACATAACTTAATCAGATTTAGAAGACATCAAATGCCAGCATAATTTGTAATACGAACACATTTCATTTTCATAGGTTTTGGGGGAGGCCATACACGCTGTTCCGTTAGACAAAGTCAACCAGTTAATTCTCTGAATAGACCATTCTTCGGGCCATTCGGCTTCTTTCCGACAAATATCGGTGACTTATTCGATAGCAATAGCTCAACAACGTCCTTCAGCACACTCACCAATTTCGGTGGGCCCAGCGGCGGTCAGACCGAGATGAAGCGCACGAGTACGTCAACGACAAGGTTCATCAACGGGAAAAAATTAACCACTAAAAAGTGAGTCTTTACATTTCACTTCCGAATAAGCTTAATGATCCGTAATATTGGTAATTGAGCTTAGGAAGTTGATTAGGTGTAGAGATGAGTGAGTTTTGATAGTTAAGCAGGAAGTATTTGAATATCGTTAAATGTTTAGACAAGTGAGTAATATTATATATATATATATATATCCCGAGAAGAAAAAATAAATAAATAAAGAAAAAAGGTTATTTTCAATCATTACGATACAAATACATCATTCATCCGTTTAGTTCTCTTTGAATGATGCTTTTATAAAACCATATGCAATTGTCATACAATTTCAGTCCGCAAACGTGCTATTTACGATTGAATAAGCGCATATACTTTTAATTTGTTAAATATAAACTTAACTTATTAAACCTAGAAGATTATATTTTGTATGTACATAAATTTTTGCAATTTTAAATTATAAGAAAATTTAAAGTAAGTGTAAATTAGAAGGAAACATTGAGATTAAGCATTGAATGAATTAAATTAATTTATTTCGGTGCGAACTAATGAATCGATACGTTATTATTATTCAATTTATAACAATGATAATGAATTCAAATCACATGAATTACGTAATAACGGGAATGGATATTTTTAGATGAAATTTTCCGAATATTTATTTAACATATTGAATATATTCTATTAATTTTTTAATAGTACATTTCGCTTTGATACTTATTTATTAGTTTTCCATTAATTATATAAGATCGATGTTTCTTATGGTATTTTTGTTTGTTTGTATATTTTTACATGTCAATGGTAGTAGATAGTATTATTGTTTCTATTCCTTGTTTTCGGCAATACTTGATATATAAAAAAAAAAACAAAACAACAACGATAAACGTAAGCATAATACTTGTTGTTAATGTCTATTCCTTTTTGTTATAGAGTCTCCGAGAATGGAAAGGAAACGATCATGTCCTACGAAAACGATGTCCTTAAGTCAAAGACAGTAAACGGAGTGCCTCAATCAATAACGTACAGTTAAATTTCTTTTCTAATTGATCGTTATTAACTCGTCGAACTTACGATAATGAATTCTACGTGTCTCTATCGTCCGCTATCTACGAGCCGCCTCGTATAAAACTTCTAAATCAACAGCCATCAGTCTTTATTGAGCGCCAACTTTAAATTAACAAATACATCAATAACGATAACAGCATCACAAATCAGCAATTGGTTTATTGATCTGAACTCTAACAATTGAAAACAAGAAAAGCCAATACATTTAATAAAGCATTTAATAAAATTGCAAATTAACAGATATAATACAGTAGAGTTTTTCAGCGTGTGAGAATAATACTAATTGCCGCTGACGAATGTAAAGTTGCAAGAGACTGATTCAAGTGTGGCTGCTTTTCAATTTTAAAGCCTCTTAACTATTAATTGCGTTCGAAATAGCAAAAAAGTAACCCTGGTATAGTAGCTCGGATGGCTGTGAATAGGGTGTGTGTGATATAGGCCCGAAATTGTCACCCTACCTGGGAACTTCAACTAACCGCTATAAAAAAACAAAAACAAAAACAAAAGAAAAATATCATTTAACATATATGTATCTAACTTTTCTTTCTCTTTTGCTATGATTTTTATTTTTTGTTTTATCTCCTATTTTTTATTTTCATTCTACTTTTTAATTGATATTTTTATTGTTAACCAAAGCCCCAGTGTTAGACAACCATGCAGTCGTTGTAGAAACTGAAGCGATTGATGTAACAGTAATAAATACAAACTCTCACGTTTCTCTTTTAATTTGTTGTGACCAGAATGGCGGCAATAACGTTGCACTTTTAAGCTTCTTATTATCCGTTAATGTACCCAGCTCTGCAAAATCAAAAAAAAAAAAAAAAAAAAAAAAAAAAAAAAAAATTAACCAAACAAGCAACTCCCGGTGAACGGACAAATTGTTTGAAATCTTTAATCTTTTTTTTTTTTTTTTTTTATCTCGTAAAAACGTTTCTGTTTTACCAGGTTGGACGAAGCATCCACAAGTCGGCACGTGACAGACAAAGCCACCGATATTCTCGCAACTGGTAACCAGAGTTGGAAATCGGTGCATAACGATTATCCGAAAGGTAGCAGATTAAAGACCCATCATCTTCATCATCATCCGCATTCAAGTCTCAAGCACGATAAAAATAAGAGGAAGTAAGCCCTGTGGCACTTCGTGATTTTGTCTTCACACACAATCACGAACGAACGCATGCGCTTACGTACCTCTTAACTGCTGTCGATAAAGGCGAAAGAAAGAAATAATTTTTTGCTCTTTGTAAGACAATGGACTAAGATACTTTTGTGAATTTCTGTAGCAACTCGTGAGATCCTTTTTAACCGTTTGGCTTTCGGAGTGGAGCAGATGTTAATAACGTTGATCGATTTTAATGAACAGTTCTGCTCGGTTAAAAGTTAGCCGGTACTATGAAATTTCTAATAACTATTAGCAAATTTAACGCGTTAAATGTAAAGATAAGAAGCTTAAAGAAACGAAAAAAATTATATACAGAAAGAAGAAATTTCACGGCGAGGACGAAAATTTCGGCAACATAATAATGTATTTAATAATAGTAACTGGAATATTAGCGCTAATTTATTTAAATTGCAATGACTAAAACGAGTTGATAATAATCATATTCCTATGCGATAATTTAACGATTTCCATTAAGAATTAAAAATTCTTGGCGTAAAAGCACGTTAAAGCTTTAGAAAGCCTTATGTTAATTAATTGAATTATATTTTATACTTCACGATACCCATGAGTTGATCATTAAAAATTTGTTTTAAAAAAAAAACACAAACAAACAAACAAAAACAAACAAAAAACAACAACAAAAAAATCGTACGTTCTCATTTAAACCGAACTTACTTTTTTTCATTTCTTTTGGCTTAATTAAGCTTTCATAACGAAATCTTCATTGAATTAACTATCGCTGTCCCTTGATGATAAAGCAGTAAGTGAGAGTTAACTTCATGTAACAATGTATTTATCGGCAGAGCGATAATCCGTCGATTGCAGGATTTTAATTCTGTCGTACGACGAATGGTAAAAAAGGACGATATTTAGTCCTCGTTTAATATTTAAACACATGCGGTTATGTTACACGTTACTATTCATACCGACGAAACAAAATATTTTGAATGTACGAAGCGAGATAGAACGAGAGAAAGAGCGAGAGTGCGATAGGGAGAAAAAAAAATAAAAGTTCCAATGAACGTGGAAAGATGTGGGACTAGGTGGTGGAGGAAATTTTTGAGAATAAAAAAAAAACATAAGAATTGATGAAATAGATTTTAGCGGCTGTATAATGTATCGAATTGTTGTACTTTCGGCCCTTCTGCTTGATAATTCAATTTCCAGTTTTGAATAACGAAGGAGAAATTGAAGTGTACAGTGTCGTGCGCTCGTATATCACTATTTAGTGAATTATGATTTTGAGTCGTTCTGACGATGAGCGATTAAGGGGATAAAATTGTTGAATTAGCAGTGTAAGTCGAATCGATAGAAGCAAGTTAGCTTCAGAATTGACATATTTGTATGTTCCTTTTTTTTCTTTTCTTTTCTTTTCAAAGGAAGCTCAACATCTTTCGATTTAGAGCTAAATATATTTCATCTGGATTCGGCATTATCGTAAGGAAATAAATAATATTTCAACTCCTTCGGTTCACGACTATCTTACGTCAATATATTATAACATTATAAAGGTTCGAGAGATCGCCGTAGTAGAAAGAAAATTACCCAGCTCTTATGTGTCTCTTAAGTAATCAGTTTAATTAAGTTTTAATTTTATTTCGTTTTACTTGATTGTATTTACATTTTTTTTTTAGTTTTATTTTTTATGGCACATCACTGAATTTTAAACACAAAGTTAGAAAAGATTGAATGAGAGAGAGATGAAATGAATAAACAAATATCTAAGTAAATGTAGATCAAACGAGTAAATGCACACGTATTTCCTAGACCCTTTCTTTCCTTATTATTTAAGTTGTATCTCATTCTAGCCCCTTTTCCCTTTTAAGTAAAATAATTGCGTATGTGTATATAAAGATAAGGAACAGTGTTAAGCTTAAAATACATTATCATTCACTAAAAAAAAAAAAAAAAAAAAAAATTACGTCTTTTTTTCATTACCTTTTTTATTGTTTTTTTTTTAAAATAAATTCGCCCCCCCCCCCGCCCCTTACCGCCTACTCTTCCCATTAAACATGTTGGGGGTAAATCCGGTTAGCATACGTGCAGCAAAAACGTCTCCTGGAGCGCACGAGTCATAAGGAATATAAACTTTTATATAAAACATTTATTTCTCAAATACAAGTTTCGGCTCGTATATAATATAAGAAGTAGTCAAATTCAAACAATTAATAATATAATAAAATAAGCTGAACTCAATAATTGAGTATTTGCGCGTGATTGTAGCATGATGAATAATCTTATCCTAATGCAATTTGCAAATTCCGTGTGTCGCCGAGTATCCATCTCTCCAACCTACCGATCCTGCTGCTTTACGATTTTTTGCCAATCGTAGCGATCAGCGTCTGGACCTTATCCACGTACTGTCTCATCGCATCCAACCGACTGAGTCCGAGTTCCGACTTGCTGTGCCAATGGTCCCACTTGGCCTTACCCTGGAAGTCCAACATACCCGGCCTTGCTGAAATCCAATCGACCAATTAGCGACCCCCTCCATCAGTCATCCCACCCCTACCCCAAGTTCGCCACACAATCCCATTCGGACAACCCAAACGGAACCATATCATCCCCTACGTACGTATGTCGCAGTTTCCCACGGTGGCTTGCTTGTAAAGAGCGTAGAGTTCGAGCAGCTCGTCATCGCACGGCCTCGACGCCAATTCCTTCACATCCTTCGCTGCCTGCTCGAATTCCTGGGGGCATAAGCGACAAGTGCCGCGAGTTTTCAACTTCCTCCCCTCGTCAATAAAGAAGCGCCCGAGATTACCCGCTTAGCAACGATTTCTAATGGGGAGGGGGCGCCACTCTCGTCACGACACGACACCCCTACCCCCACCCCGCCCTATCGCTCAGCAGCCCGGCCGGCAAGTCGAGGTTAAGGAAGGTGCATTTTTGAGACTGAACGAGCGCGGACAATCAAGGAAGATACAGGGCATGCGATTAATAACGTCGACTCTCTCTCTCTCTCTCTCTCTCTCTCAAAATCTCCTCCTCTCGCCGGTCATTTTCGAGGGAACAGGTCGAATGGGTGGGCGCGAGCGCGGTCGCTAACACTCTTAGTCCGGGCCAACTACCGCTAACCCAACGCCACCTCCCCACGTTGCGGGCTTGTCCGGGGGTTCGGGGCACGTAACGGTGATGGTCGCTGAGGCAATGGGAAGGCGAGGTAAGTGCCGCTGACGCTGAAGCTGCCTGACTCACCTGGTCCAGCGACATTGCAGCGTGGCTCAAGACGCTATCAGTAGTATCTGCCGAGAGGTCGTTCGAATCAGTTCCGGCTGGTCGGTCGTGATGCACTAACTCCATGGCGGCGATGCGTCGCGCCGGTTCATACTACCGCCCCCGCCGCCGCCGCCGCCGCCGCCGCCGACGCCACCGCGATGAGCAGGGGGTGGGGTGGCATGGAGCAGCAGGGCCGGGGATGAGGTCGGACGAGGACGTGGGATTGTCTAATTAATTGTTGATTATCGGTGATTTTGGGAGGTTGATGGATGATAAGATGGCGATGAAGTTCCTTGATAAAGGAATAATTGTTCGTCTCTCAATCGCGTTAATGGCGTTTTTTAGTTTTAGTCGTGTAAACACACAAAATCGAGCGGATCACTGCTGCGGCGGCTACGGCAAAAAAAAAAACTCTCTGTGTCGTGTGTCGTTACCAAGATCGGGCGAAATTTAAATTGAATTCTTATATTTCAACGAGTCTTATGTCACGTCGATTTTAATCCACGTGTTATTTAGGAGAAGCGAGGAGTAATTTTACGTTACTTTAGCCCGTTTATATAACATAGAAATTTAATTTCCTATTGAAATTGTTATTATGGCTGAGCATATTTATTGTATTGTATTTCAACATTTATTTTATTTCACTTTTAATTTTTTCACTCTTTATTTGGGATAGAAAACTATATTTCTCATCACTATGATTCGATTTAGCGGTATAATAATGAATAATTATAGTATAATTAGTATTTTTCAATGTACTTTTCCAATGTAAATAATGATTAGATATGAAATTGTGAAAATGTGTTCTAGTGTCTACAGTGTTAAATGTCTTTTTTTCATTACGGTTAAATCTTTTTTTTTTTTTTTTTTTTTTTTTTTTTTTTTTTTGTTGTCTTTGCGTCTTTACAAACGCACACGCGCACACACTAGCGCAGGCATTAATTTCCAAGCTCCTATATGATAAATAGAACGGGTCTACTAAGATATATATATATATATATATATATATATATATATATAAACATATATCTATTCTTTAAAAAAATGTAAGTAAATTTGGCTGACTTAACGGTTAATTGTGGTTGGATTCGACATTATTCCAACCACTGTTAATTTTCTATTAAGAATGCAGCCTGAGGATAAGGATATGGGCTTTAGTAGTTTCGAATTGGTCCTCGTCCCTATTAATTGCTCAAGCCTCGATGATTAAGATAATTATTGTATTTAAGGCAAAATACTTGCTTAACGGATAACAAGTCATTATCATATCGACTATGGGGATGTTTATGATTATACGTTTAACAATGTCGCTCGTGTTATCGTACGTGCTAATGTCGATGCTTAGCGAGAATAATTCGTTGCAAATTTCTTTGGAGATAGCCTTTTAAAAAGTCATGAGATAAACTACTGATAATTCAAGTAAATGTGTCGATAAACTCGATAAATTCACGTCAAATGAGATAACGTTTGCTTGTCATTGCGTAAACTATGATATTTGAAATGTGCGCGCGTTCGTTAGCCCCAAGGAGCTCGGGAATGTTAGCGAATCGCTATAATTTTGCGGAATATGGGGGTGATTTTTAATAGATTTTCATCGAAATCCATTTGTTGTTCGAGCCGAGCAGAGGTAGCTTTTATCGCCGTGAAAGAACCGGATTTTCGAAAGAATTTTTAATATTTTTGTTGCGCCTCGGAATAGTTTTCGAACAAAAATTACTATAAATTTATCATAGGCGATAGGCATCGATCAGACGCATCCAGCAACCGAGGATTTTGCTCCTACGAGCTTTTCCGTTTTTCAATTTTTTATATTCCCCTGCGTACATCCATCCATATTTCACACGATATAATCTGAACAGAGATGGACTATGCCAACGTAAAGGTATTTCGATCAGCCGTTAGAGGCGTTTCCTGGTACCCAGGTGGCATTACATCCACGACCATAGATCGTCATATAAAAAATTTATATTTCTTGGTTGTATGCTTGGAGGAGAACCCCAACTCCGCCCATCTTTGCTTATCACTGGCAATCAACCACTACAAACAATCTCGTATTTATAGGGCTTTTCACATTATTTGCAAATTGCAAAACAAGTGCTGCGAGCTGATCGAGTCCTGTGCATTTTTATTTCAATATAATTTCATTAAGTCCGCTTCTGCCATGATAATTCTTAAATACAATGTAATTAATTATAATACTTTGCTATAGATGCGGTAAAATTTAATATTGAAGTTTTGGTTTTTGTTTGTGAGATAATATGGGAAAAGAATCGACGAAACTACATTTCCTTTCTAATTATTATTTTCTATTTAACTTTTAGGCTTTTTTTTTTTTTTTTTTTTTTTTTTTTTTTTTTTGTATTATTATTAATAATTGTTGCAGTTATTGGCAGCATAATGGCTTATATAATACACGTTTAAAGATAAATATTTCTAGGCTTTACAATTCTTGGGAATTGATTATAGATCTGTTTAGATAAATCGATATTTACATTGATAAGTGATTACGATTACTTCGATACATTTCCACAGGCAGGCATGCAAAATAAATAGTTTGAAAGTAATATCTATCGATAAATTATTACGGGAAGATCTGAAGATATCAGAATGCAATTCTTGAAAATTGATAAGAATCGCTTTCTCGGAAGACGGAATGGAACTCGTCTCTAACTTTTTCACGCGATGAAACACTCAAATTGAGAACTCTTATTAAAAATCTACAATTTATCAAGAATAAATATGGAAAATGATACTTTATGGATATTTATTCTCTTTTTTAATGCTTTCATCGTTTAACAATAAGTTATGGTGATAATAATACAATAATGACAACAACAACAACAATTACAAACAAAAAATAAAACATAATAATAACGATAATTTTGGTCTCAATGTATTGGATGAGCTATTGTTTTATTAAAAATATTTTCTCGTATGTAGCAAAGACGCTACTTCATCGATACTCTAATAATATGTTTTTTTTTTGCTTTACTCCGTTTATTCTCCTATAATATATATTAATTGTAAGAGGACAATGGGTAAAGAGACTTTGTATTTTGATGCATAAGCATATATTAAAATGTGTAATGCCTTAAGATTCGGCAATTTATTATCCTGAAATGTTTTATTTACGAGAACATCGATAAAAATACATCGCTAGGACTCATTAAGCGCCGATAGGGGATAGCGACACTTTGATTCGTCACTGCAAGCACCACTGTCGTATTTTCAAGGTATTGGTGTACGTTACGCAGGCAGGAAGGGTCGAGCAAGTTTTGGAAGGCGAGGTCGTGGGAAGCAGTGATGACACGATGATCGAACAGTCCCGGGCATTCGTCTTTATACTCATCCTTTGGCAAGATGTCGAACTCTGGAAATAACGTACCACGTGCGATCTCCCACACCTCATCGAAAGCTGCTAAGAAATACATTTACGAGCGCCCGTGGACGTTCGCCTTTCCGTCCAAGAGTTTGCGCATCCGAAGATCAAAAGTATCATCGTTTGTTGGTCTGCGAATATCCTGGAGCATCCGCAGAGTCGAATCCCACGGGGAGAACCGCAAGCTGGCACCTGCCTTCCATAAACCGTCATCTCTCTCTCTCTCTCTCTGTCTCTCTCTCTCTCTCTCTCTCTCTTTATCTCTCACTCTTTCTCACTAGATTATAGCGCATGCAATCGCGCCCCTTACTCGCTCGTTCTTTTACGTCGTCCTTTTCCGACTTGTCAATGCATCGTGTCACTCGTGCTCCTCTCTCGACCCCCTCACCCCACCGCCGCTGCCAAACAATCGTCCGAATATTACTAAAGTGTCCGAGTAGAACGGAGATCGATGATTTGGCGCTTTACACGCCAGGCTAACCAAAGGCAAAATCGAGGCTGCGGCGAATGAATGTACAAGCCATGGATAGGCACATTTGGTATTTGCAAACACGTGGCCGTCGTCGGGACTCTAAATTTGCGCGTTAGGCGCCATTGTCCCAGCACGTCTAATAATTCTTATTTCGCACGTAGTCGCTATTTCGATGAATTTTCGATTTTCACGCATGGCCTACCTTCGAGGGAGCTGAGATTTATCGACCTTCTCTCTCTCTCTCTCTCTCTCTCTCTCCCTCTCTCTCTCTCTCTCTCTCTTTCTATCTCGACCTCTCTACGCAGCTCACTCCCAAGTAAGTTATGAATTTATAAAGCTGTAATTGCTGATTTATGAGTGCAAGAGAGACTCTATGTGCGAAATTTTGTCCAGAATAAGAGTCTCCTTTGTAATTATGAGATACAAAGTGCATAGTCTCGTGTATGAAGAATAATATTTACAAATATTCTTAATATTTATTAAAATATTAATAAAAAAAAGAAAGAAAGAAAAACATCGGTAAATATTTATATTCCTGCGCATACGTGTCCGACGATTTATTAAATGTATATAATAATAAATTAATAAGTCAATTAATTAATAAAAACATAAAAAGAAAATGTAACTCCTATTACATAATTTGTATTTTACCGAATATTTTTAAATCTCTGCAGTTTTACAACATATATATATATATACATATATATATTTCCGTAATTTATTTATTTCTTACCTCATTCATCGTCGTATTCCTGTTTTTATTGCGATTATGAAATTTGCTCCATTGTGAATGGCATTCGAGATCGATCGACGAAGATCGTTGAGAGCACTTTCTATGGGGTATTGGTACGCTAGGAGGAAAAATTGTTGCCGGGAAATTTTACAATAATGGGGGATAGAGCCATAAAATATAAAATTTAATAAGCCATGTACTTGAATTATCAAATTTCCTTTGCGAGTTGAATTGTGCATCATGCTTTATTAATTTATTATACAAACATACCATTATTGCGATAACCGCTAGTTTTATAAAGCCGTGCCGTTATATTGTCAATGTGAGCATGTAATTATTGATGTTCGTTGGAAATTTGTATACAATATCTGAAGATGTATCGCTTCTTGGATGAATATTTTTACGTCGACATCACATTTACAATGGTTTTTACGCTGGCGCTTGCGCTCTTTTTCGTTCGGTCCTCCATTGATAATTCATAACAGTTAAAAGCCATTTTAACTATCAAACCACTTCGCAAAATCAGAAATTACATCGACACCAATTACGCTCTACAAGCCCTTGATTTTCTTCCAATTTACAAATTAATATGAACAATTCGACTTTATTATTAATGGCAGATCGATAAAAATAAAAAAAAAAAAAATAAAAAATTGTAAATATGGTAACTACGTATATATCTTACGAAATAGTGACAATAGGTTACGATGACTCGCATACAATATTATTGTATTATACGGAAATTGATGCAACGGGCATATTTTCAACGAATTTAATAAACCAATCGATTGCATGAATTGCAATGCAAGCACCAACCAGTGAAACACTGGACTATTCCTCGTATTTCTTAAGTAGCGTCTCGACGAATTTAACGTAGGTTTCTTTCGCCTCGTCTTTACTCATCCCCTTCTTGCTGCTCCATGCATCCCACTTTGCCTTGCCTTTCAGATCAAACATTCCTGGTCTACCTGCATTTAGAGCAAAATTTCAATATCATGATGGAAAATATTTTCCCGATAGAGTAGGCAATTTATTTGAAATAATAATGATCCAAAGTCTATGCGCTATTTGAAATTCAAATTCAATCTCTTTGTCTCTTTTAGTTAGTCGAACTCCGATGTATAATTCATAATGAAAAATGAAAAAAATGAAGAACTCATGAACAAATGTATAAATAAATAAATAAATAAATAAATTTATAAATAAATTAAAAAAAAAAAAAAAAAAAAAAAAAAAAAAGAAAAAAAAAGAAGAAAAAAAAGACAGAAAAAGATAAAAGGAGTTTTACTGCCGACATATGGAAATTTTTTTTTTTCGTTAATTAATCGATATCTTTATTTTATTTGTGAATTTTTTTTTTTTTTTTTTTCTTTTGTAATACTTTTACAGGAGCCATCCAATGTGCAGATGAACATTGGTCGCTCTCGTCTCGTCTTTTATCATTGATAAAATCACTTTTATCAACGGAGGAATGATTAAAAATTTATATCTTTTTCTTTTCTCTTTTCTTTTTTTTTTTTTTTTTTTTCAATGAACAAATATAAAATAATAATAATGACAATAATAATAATAATAATAATGATAATAATGACGCAATATTGGCGATTAAACGACTGTGCATAAGATTTTGTATCGTCGCGTCACAATGCCGTCTACGACTTTAGATGTTTAAACATTCGAAAGATGAATTCAACTGTAAGGTATTTAATATATTTTTTACCTGCAATTAATTTGCTTTGGACACTTTGGCTTCGGCCTTACCTAACATACTCGCAGAATCTAACAATAATTATAAGTTTAAGAGTCTAATTTTTGGACAATTCACAATCGAGATCATTATTGTATCTTATTAATTTTTACGTTATTGACGATTATATGGCTGTACGTGATGTTAATTGCACGTTAGGTAGAGCTATAGAAAATAATTAACTTTTAAATAAACATGTATAAGTATAAAAGTAAAAATGGAAAATCAAATGAATCACGCATCGATAAAATATGTATATAAAGCGAAATAATACAAATGCTATCGGCCCTGTCATCAATGATTCATCTTTATAAGAGTCGAGAGAAAACTCGACCAATATACATACGACAAAGATATTTGAAGTTACGATAGGCAATATATATATATATATATATATATATATATATACACACACTCATTCTCACACACTCTCACTCACGCACAAACGCACATACACAAACATACAGGCAGACAGACAGACAGACAGACAGGCAGGCAGACAGGCAGACAGGCAGATAAACAGATACACGCGCGGGCACACGCACGCGCACACACACACACACACACACATATATATATATATATATATGTATATACAGAAGTAATCAGCCGATTTTCTTGGAGCAAGTGCAAAACATATGATAGATATTTCATGTCTACCAAACACGCGATTAGCCGCGATAAAAAGAACATTGACCAGCTCGATTCCACTATGATTAGGAGCGTTGGTAACTTTTTATCGTAATTTGTGGTAAAATTTGATAGAATTGGTATTAAATTGTCGGTGGCGTGTTGTTGAAACGCGTAGCTTTCCCGCTAACGGTGAAAATTTTTCTCATTTAGTCCGTATATAAGCTGCACATTTGTAGCATTAAGGCGGCGATGACTAAAACGAGTTGCTCCGCCGCCAGATGGGAAAAGAAAGCCAGCATGGCGGTAGTAATTTGTCGAGCGGTAATTGTGTGCGTGCCACGCAATGCGTACAGAGATATTATTTCGTTATAATGTGCATGTCTATCGAGGGGGAGTGTGTGCCTGCGCATACGCTCGATCCCATTAAGGAATTGCCGGGAGAAGGAAAGTATCGAGAATTCTCGTTTTGCACACAAAAGCGCCATTCTTCGTGAAATTGATCGAACGGCGTGGAAAACCCGGTGTCTTAGCCGTACTAGTACATTTTTTCAATTTAGTCGCTCGCTTAGACAGTTGCGCGTGTGATCGCGAGTCTTTCTATCGGGTTTGACACGCTCGTAGTACACGTTTTTCTATTTCTCGACTGCCGCGCGAGTCGTATAAAATTCACAACTGCTAATAAAAATAACTTTTATGAGGACGGTGCTGGTAGTGGTGGTAGTGGTGGTAGTGGTGGTAGTGGTAGTGGTGGTGGTGGTGGTGGTGGTGGTGGTGGTGGTGGTGGTGGTGATGGTGGTGATGGTGGCGGTGGCAAAGCCTTTTAATTATCTTATTATGAAAGCTGCCATCGCTATCGTCGAATCGTTATTCCAGTGTGGCAAGAAGAGCAATTACCTCAAACAAAACCTTTTTACCCCTACGGGAAGATTATTCTTTTTCATTGTACTCGAATTCGTAGCGAGTAGACAATGTTGAAAAACAAGCACTTTTTATTGTTGATTTTTACGACCACGTCGGCATAGATGGCGATCATTCGTATCTCGAATGTCTCGTGAAACGCGGGAATTTGGACGGGCAGGGTACGCTAGTCTTGCGTAAACATCGTCGACGCTTATACAGATTACACTCTTATTGGCGTTGTTTTGACACCAAATTCCAAAGCTTCATCTTCGCCATTTAGGATAAAATTGTTTTATGAATTTTAACATCGCCAACATTGTACTTACGCGCTCTTAATAAACAGCTTGATAGAAATAGCGCGTAGGAATAATTTTTAAGGTAGGAAAGAAATTTGTCGCCTTTATCCGATCGATCGTCGCTGGCATATTATAAGTAAACATTTGCCTGTCCTTACTTGTATTGACGTCACCGAGGCTGCCCTGCTTGAAAAGCGCATAGAGCTCGAGCAATTCGTGATCCGTTGGTCTCTTCTGCAGGTTTTTCACCTTCTCCGCAGCATCGTTGAATTCCTAACGAATGGCAATTGCCAGTACTTATAATTTTGTACGAGAATTGTCGTAGGGACCCTATAATCCACACACGTTCGACACGACGATACATCGAATGAATGCCTTGCGAGGATTAAATTGCATTGCCGAAAACGTAAACGCGCCGAGTTTGTGAATCGACCGATCGCTCAGTCGCCCTTACCTCACTCTACCGATCAATCATCGATAATTATCCGCCTTTCATCGCCGCTAACATCACGTTAACTCGACTTTCATCCTAGTATGCGAATTATGAATTCCAGGTCCGTTTATGACTAGAAACGTTCGCGGCCGTTTTCACTCGACGACAAACAGCGGATGTATGTGTAGGGGATACATTCGATAATGCAGTAAGCGCCCGACAATTTACAAGCGCACCTCGCGTGGCTCCAATTAATGAAAATGACTCGGCTATATAGCGCGAGCTCGCGTTTCGGCATCGTCAAGCCCACTCTAGCTTGGGGCACCTAACTC